CACAAAAGCCACAAGTGTCACCGGTTTTCGCTTTAATGTCCTGCTGCTTTCTCGTGAAGCAGCCAGGAAAAGCTCTTTGACACATGGTGACACATTAGGTAGGAGGAGAATACGCTGCTGAAAATGCATTTCTATCAGCAGCATGTGTGATTTCAGTGGCCTTTTATCTTCCTTTTGGTTGGACAATTGTTTCCTGTGTTCAGAGGTAACTAGACGTGAACTGTGTTATTTTGTGGTTAACCACATTCTCGAGAAAAGCGCGTCCAGGTGACAGGTTAAATTCCAGACTGTTGGCAGCAGCCAAAGTGTGGAACTGAAGATGCCAAACTTAAATTTACTAAATAAGGGAAACTTTACCTTCTGCTGCATTTTGAAAACTAAAGTCAGCTTACTTATTTAAAATTTTGATTACTTTTAATTGTGTTTCCCTAATGAATTCTACCCAGGTGCAAAGAGGTGAGTGCCTGTACAGGCTGACTTAGGACTCTTGCTTTTTAGGCACAAAAGCAATGCAAAGTTGGCTCCTTCTACTCAGTGCTCCTTCTTTGGCCCTTCTGAGTTACAAAGGGTGCTCTGCACAAGTGTCTGTATCGGTGGCAGCGGTATCGGCTCTTGCTGTAACTGATACTCGGTGCGAGAGAGAATTGCAGAAATGAGCCCTTGCTGAGAACGACGCTGGGTTTGAACACTGAATAATTTAGATGAGTGGGGAACCTTCGTTACCGCTCGGCAGCGAGGAAGTGGGGCTGTAGGAGGTCAGCTCTGCAACTCATTGTGAAACTTCTGGACTGAGGCCGTTTAAGTCCTTTTGCTCAGTTATTTGTGTGTCAGTCAGACCGGTACTTTCCCTTCTTTTCGTAGGGTAATCAGCTTGCGCTGTGCGAGAACGGCGTGTATTGGAGCGTGTACAAGCTAAACAGATGTTGATGACTGCATGCAATTAAACTGATTTTATTTCTTCACCCCTCCTTTTTAAAAAGAGTCTTGTAAGACCTGACATTTCCTAATGAAATCCTGCATCTGAATTTATTTTTTATCTCTTGAATTAATTTTCTGGGGCAGAGGAAGGAATCACACCATAATTCGAGTGCAGTGGAAATAAGCCCCAAGCGTAGCTGACGCAGTTACCCTTCCTGTCCTGCTGTTTCAAGTGCTGCTCGGTTGCTGGGAGATGGGGAGGGGAAGGCCCCAAAACCCCTGCACGTTTGGCTCATCCCTCAAAGTCAGCAGTCCGGTTCTTGGGTACTTGCAAAGCATCGGGAGCAGCTCTGATGCTTGAGAGAACTGTTCTAAAGTCTTACCTTCTCAGGCCAGTCTTAGACATTTATGAAGCAAAAGGGGGTTTTACGCTTCATTATTTACTTTTAATTTCCTTTTGTTGTATTATACTTTTCTCACTATAATTCTGTCTGTAAGAGTAAATGTGATTGTAGTCTTTATTTCAAATTAATGGATGTTTTTTGTTCAGTGATGACATAGAAAAAAATAGCAATTTAAGGGGAATCTCGTAGACTGGAGATGAGTTCAAGGTAAACAGCGGTTTAAGCAGACTGGCACAGTTCATCAGGCTCAGCTTTTGCCAGTCTTGTTGATTACTGGACAGCTGATTCCTACTTGGAAGGCAAATGCTTAATTACGACTCCTCTGTGTTCCTCCGGTGCACCTCCAGCACAGAGTCCTTTGCCAAGAGCGTTTGTGGTGCAGCCACGGCCTCTGTCTTCAAAGCTCCGTTTCTGCACGCTGTGTCCTGCCCGTCTGGGCTTTCCTGTTGCTGCCACATTTCTTGGTTGTAGATGGGCTCGAGTGCTTGCTGCTGTAACCGCCGGTCCTTCATGGTCCGTATCTGTGTAACTGTGTGTATGGTCAGAGCTTTCTGATGTGCTGATGTTCCTAATAGGAGAAGAGAGTTGATGCTTGTCTGCTTTACAGAAAGTTTTGTTTTGCGTGGAACGTGGTGGTAGCGCTGCTCAGGTCTGCAGTGTCCTTCTCAGAATAAGGTGTGAAATGGAGATGTGGTCTTTGAGGACAGGGAGCACTGCGAGGCCTTTGGACCTGAAAGTGTCACTGCCATTTGCCTTTAAATACGTGCATTGGCAGCCAGCAACCGGATTCTTGATCTAGAATTTATATTCTAATTTTCTTTGACTTTCTAGACCCAAATGTAAACACCTAGAAAGCTTAACAGGCTCCTCGCTGGATTTTTAGGTAGTTCATGCCTGTGTCAAATCCCTTGTGTATTATGGGAAGTACTGTGAAGGATGCCCTGTGAAGCAGTATGTAAAATGCTGATTTGCAGATGCCTCAAAAGTCACTGCTCTTTGTTTTAGTGTTATTTTTTATTATTTAAAGCTGTTTTATTTACAGTGAAGTGCAGAGTAGCTCCTCTTCCTCGTCCCTTTTAGAAAAACAAAAGGCCATGAACAATCCAGTCTGCCTTGTTAGATGGGAATGTGGTGAGGGTTGGAAGAAGTGGCCCTTCAACAGGACAAGATATTTTGAAAAAGGAAAAGGTTTGGGGTTTGGCACTAGGACTCCTGAACTGTAGTTTTTAATAAGCCCCTTTCTGTGGGTAATCTTCTCTCAATTTTACTGAATCTGAGACAAAATGCTTTTTTGTTCTTTTGCCATCCTCTGTCAATTCTTCCTGCTGTCCTTTCCTCCCCTGCTGGATTTCAGAATAGCTCAATATTTTTCATGGTAGCTACAGTTCTGTGGGATAATGTTGCTTCTCATCTGTGATGTGAAACTGGAAGAGCATGGAAAACTGGTTCCTGGAAGTGTCATTGTGTGTTTGAGTCTGCATTTGAGAGTAAAGTTGCTACTCCCTGGATTGAGTAGCAAGAGAAGTGTTGATAATAAATTGCTTGGAAAACTCATCTCCATTTGGCAAAATGCTGTTGACATCGACTGTAACTGAGAGACAGGAACTGAATTCAGTACTGGCCAAAATGAGAACTACTGCAAGTTATTTTGTAGTTGTCTTCTGTCTTTCGAGCTTCAGATAAATTTATTCAAGCATATCAGCTGGCTTATTCCTTCTGCTTCAGAGAGAATGAGATTTAATTAAGTGTTGTGACTTGCACACTGGGTCTCTCTGCCGGTTGCAAAAGCAGAAGGGAAGGAAGCAACCGAATCAGTAGGGAATTGTTGAGAAATCTGTAACACCGCCCTCTCGATGTGCAGCACCTCCTCTGATTCCTTGCACTTCAGGCAGTGACTGTTAAAGTAAACAGAGAAGAGAACAAAGCACGATGGAGGCAGCTTTTGAGATCAAATGAAGTAGGAAATGGACTGATGGGGAGATGCTGAATTCTGGGTGTTAATGGGAATTCGGTGCACAGGGCGGTGCTATGGAGGGTCAGGTTGTTCCCTTGTCAAGTTTCCCCTTGTCTTCATCCCCCACAAATAAGTAGCTCTGCGAGAAGCACCTCAGTGAAGTGTAGGTGCTGCCTAGGGGAATACGTGTCGGTTCGATAGCCTCCTGGGGTCCTTTCCAACTGTTTAATCAGATTTTTAGCTAGAAACACTTTGAATTGTTTTTCCTTTTCCCCCCTCTTCTGTTAGGTTACTGTTCTTCTCTAAGGTCAGCTTGATTTCCGATATGTGCCACTCCTTCCTCGCATGGTGTAGCAGAAATATTAAGTTATCTAATAATTAAATGGCAATAACTTCTTATTTTTTCTTTCCTTTAAGGTCAAAATCTATTCCATTGTCTTTGATGTTTAACTGCAGTTCTGCCCTGTCTAGATTCCAGAAGTGCTTAAAAATTAAGTGTGCAGCGTTTTGTCTCTTAGGTTAAGAGATACCAGTGCACCTTCGAGGGCTGCCCGCGCACCTACAGCACTGCCGGAAACCTGCGCACCCACCAGAAGACACACCGAGGGGAGTACACTTTTGTCTGCAATCAAGAAGGCTGTGGCAAGGCCTTTCTCACCTCCTACAGCCTCAAGATCCACGTTCGCGTGCACACTAAGGAAAAGCCGTTTGAGTGTGACGTGCAGGGCTGTGAGAAGGCATTCAATACACTGTACAGGTAGGAGCTCTCTGCCTCTCGCTCCTGGGGCTGCTGCTGTTTTGCAAGTTGCATCGACTTCTTGTTTGTGTCCAAATACACACGTTGCACATTGAGCGGGTGACTTGCTTGCCAAGGTAGGGGCCATCTTGTACTGCAAGTGATAAGAGGGCTTTTTTCGGCATGCCTTTTAGGTTGAAAGCACATCAGAGGCTTCACACGGGGAAAACATTTAACTGTGAATCAGAAGGCTGCAGTAAATACTTCACAACGCACAGTGACCTGAGGAAGCACATTCGTACACACACAGGAGAAAAGCCATTTCGGTAAGTTGCTGGATGGCAATTTTTACTTCTGTAAAGGGGCTGTAAGGGGCCTCCTGTGCCAGGATCTGTCCTGAATGAAAAGCTGTTCTCATGAGAACAAGAGTGAAGGCGGCTGGCGATAGCTCGTGTTTGTTGTCGAGCTCCCTCAGCTGCCTGTGGAAGTGGGTGAAGTGACTGGCTTCAAGGACAGGAGTAGTCATGCTGTCTTTTAAACAGAAGTGTGTGCCACAGTGAGCATGTTTTAAAACGTATTGCTGCTTCTCTGTGCGTTCTGTGAAGGAGCTCCCTCAACGCAGATTTCATGCTTGACTTCTAACGTCCTGCCGTAGTCTGTGCAGCGTGCCTGGCAGCTGTCGGGAGGTAGCTGGTTGTAACACGGGTTAGCGTTGGGCCCACTTTTCAGAGTCCTAGCGCTGTTGCAAAGTGTGATCTGAGGTTGTAGCTAACGCGTCAGAGAAGCCTGGTGCTAACTCTTCTGTGGTGCCTCATTCAGGTGTGAGCACGACGGCTGTGGGAAGGCTTTTGCTGCAAGCCACCACCTTAAAACACATGTTAGGACACATACTGGTAAGTCCCGAGGGTTTGTTTTTTCTTTTATTGAGCTTATTCAGTTTATGCTAACTCAGAATCCCGATATATATTTACACTTACATAAATATGTGGGTGACACCAAGCTGAGTGGTGCAGTTGATGTGCTTGAGGGAAGGGACCTGGCCAGGCTGGAGGAGTGCACCCATGTGAACCTCATGAAGTTCAACAGGGCCAAGTGCAAACACCTGCACATGGGTCGGGGCAATCCCCACTTATCCACTTCATTTGTGCTTCACAGGTGTTGAATGTCATGAGCGTGTTTCACAAATGTATGGGTAATGATGCACAAAAGTTAAATGTTGTGGTTCTGTGTCAGTTCACCTGGTGAAATGGAAACTTTTATCTGCAAGACTCCCAAGAGTGCTGAACACGTGAAGTGGCATTAAACAGTCTTGTTTGTGTAAAGTGTCATTACTTTCCTATATTCTTTAAAAGTATGTGTCTGCTATAACATTTCTAAGTTTGTTTTATTTGTTTTGTGCTGTCTGTAGGGGAGAAACCCTTCTTCTGTCCCAGTAACGGCTGTGAGAAGACTTTCAGTACACAGTATAGTCTCAAGAGTCACATGAAAGGTCATGAGAAAGGACATTCCTATAATGCACTTCCCAATAACAGCGTGTCTGAGGTCGGTAGTGCTGCTTCCTAATGCGTCTGTGTTAGGAGGGGATAAAACCACACTTTGGAGAGGAAATTGTTTGGTCTGTAGCTTCTTCTAAAGGTGTAACACTTAGGGCTGGGATTTCCAAAGGGAATTGTAGCTGCTTGGTGCCCCGTCTCCTGTGCAGAAACCCACGGGTGCCTCTTGTTGAACTGAGAATTCAATTTCAGTTCTGAAATTGCTGGCCATCAGGGTGGCAGTGCAGGGTTTATTCTCGCATGCTGTGTTTACAGCGTGCTGAGAATAGACAGTGGGATCAGTATTTCTGAAACTTCTAGCATGGGATTTGGTTACCGAGTGTTATTTAGAAAATCTCAACTGAATTTGTGTATTCATGTAAATCACATTATAATTATCACTTCAGCTGCTGCTACTTTGAGTATGCCAAGTACTGACACACGTTTATAGGCAGTTCTGTGCTATTCCCTGTAGATTCTTATGTTTTAGTCAATACTATGTCGTATGCATGTGAAGTGAAACAAATACTAACTGTTAAGGTTTAAATTCTTTATTTTCTTTAGGCTGACTTGTTCCTGTGCTAATTTGAAATTCTAGGTTATTAAATTTTTTTGAATAATGTGAAAGAGATGTGAAGAATCCTTGTTAGCTACTCAATATCCTTTGCTTAGTGATGCTGCTCATTTGACTTTAGAACTGAGGCTTGGGTCATGTATAGATAAAAAAAATCTGCATGGGCAGAATTGTAAGGACTCTAAAAAGTAGTTTAAAACATTTGTCACTAATTTTTAAGATATAACTCGGTTTCTTTTTCTTCTTTACAGGATACAAGCCACTCACTTTGTCTGAGTGACCTAAGCCTCATATCAACAGATTCAGAACTGCGGGAGAGCTCTAATCCAGTGAGTTCCTGTCCCTGAACTGCCTCACCTGTAGCCTGAGTTTGCTTTTTTCTGGCAATGTGCTTGTCCTGTCGACCGGAACACGGCAGACGAGATCTGTGTGACTGGTGGCCAGTACATATGATGTGCTGTTGTTGTCCTTTGTGCAATGTTGGAACGAAAAATGACTGTTTCTGCCTAAAACCAGAATAACCGAGTGAAAGGGAAGGGTTTCTTCCAAAGTATGCAGTGTTTAGTTCAACCTGCTTTTAAAGGCTCTGCATCTGGTTTTACTGTAATAATGTTCTTGTTTATTGATAACTGTTGACTGAGCTTAAACTGCACATAGCGGAAAATTGTGTATTGATGAGACTGTGTCCTTTTGTGCTCCCATGTGGAAGCAGAGTGCAGGTTTTTAATAGACTCTGTTCCGAGAGCAGCGTGGGTGACAGTAGTGCATAGCACAGGATGTAATCTCAGCAGAGCTATTTTGTTTCTGCTCCAGAATAGGTTTCACAAACAGCCAAGAACAAATTAACAGAGTATAAGGGTTAAAAAAATGTGAATGCAGAGAATATGTTCTATTTTTGAAGGACTTACTTCTTTTTGTAAGGAATTGCTCTTTGTGTTGGTAAATTTGAGGGTGGACAGTAAAATCTAAGTGTCATTTTCCACTGGGTGAGTTAAATGTGTTGCCTTTCCTGCAGGCTGGCTCATTGGAGAGGTATTTCTGACATTCACGTGCTGCTTGACTGGGATTTGTGCAACGTTTATGGAGACGTGAGGTACAACGTGATCTGATGTCTTCCTCTTTCTTTTCTGTTGCCAGACCCACGGACAAGACCTTAGCACAATCTCACCAGCAAGCATCTTTGAGTCTATGTTTCAGAGCCCGGATCACACTGCAAGTCAGGACGACTCTCAGCAGACAGGTACAGGTACAAATCCTAGCTGCACTATTCTGAGAGGCTTTCACAGTTTCCCCCCTCTGTGCACGTACTTAATTCATTTCAGACTGAAGATTGCTGCCCTATGTGCCTCTAAGTAGCAAACAGAACTTTAACTTGAGTGTTAAAATTATTTTGTGTTGCAATGCGTTGTATTCACGGATGGTTTTATTTGCATCTTATGAGAACTGGTGTATTTATGTTTTTGTTTCTCTGGCAGCTGCCTTGATTGAAGGTTTTAACGGCGACGCAGACTCGGTCACTGCTGTTCCGCCTTCTGCAGGAGACTCGGCATCGTTGTCTCTTCCGCTTGTACTGCAGCTTGGCATCTCTGAGCCTTCGCATTCAGCACTGCAAGCCTCGGCAGCACCCGCTGCTCCCTCCTCCATAGGAACCAGCTCACAGCAAGCGGCATTTGGGAATCCTGCAACTGTTTTACAATCCCCAGAAGTGCCTGTTCCTCACAGCACACAGTTTGCAGCCAGTCACCAAGACTTCCTGCAGCACACGCAGACACCGCCACAGCCCATTGTGCAAGGACTTTCAGTGGTTGCTGGGGCACCTGCCCCAACAGCATCGAGTGCCACTGAGCCCCTGCCGGCTGTGGTTCAGACTGTGCCTGTTGGTGCGAACTCTGTTCTGACCAGTAACCCAACGATAACAATTACTCCTTCTCAGAGCACTGCTATTCTGCAGTCCAGCATCGTCATGGGAGAGCAAAACTTACAATGGATCTTAAATGGTGCCACTGGTTCTTCACAAAGCCAAGAACAAATGGTTAGTATGTCCAGCACAGCTCTGAACGGCTTGAACCTTCTCTTCCTCCTGGAGTCCTTGCTTTTGAGAAGGAAGGGGATCGAACCTGTAACTGTAAGATGCAAACCACGGTGCGGCATCGCAAAATGCTTAGCATGTTAATATGTATAAACGTGTCACTACTGCAGCCCCTAAAATAGACAGAGAAATAAACAGAGAAATCCAGGGTGCAGGAAAATCTTGCTTTCTCTTACCCTCGGTGGCAGACTTCTCACAGCAGGTATCAGCGTGGTTTATCCAGGACAGGACACCACAGGCCTGAGAATATACGTGGGTTTTAATCTATTACTTTCGTCAAGTAGAACCACAAGAGACTCTGTAAAGTTTGTGTTTAGACACTTTGTAGTCTCTCTCTCTTCCTAATTTAGCCTGGTAAAGAATGAAAATTTTTCTGGTTAAACTGAGTGTTTCTGCTTCTCCAGCAAATCTGGACAGCTGCGACTTCAAGCGTTTTACCCTCAAGAGTGTTGTTGCCACCTTTAGGCTTTCTCAGTTGCAGATGGTCAAGAGTGAATGGCAGCAGGTACAGGCAGTGTGAGCAAGCACAGCAGTTTTTAAATAGTTCATTCAGATGTCAAAAACCACAAGCTGTGTTATGACCCTTCGCTCTATGTGCATGTTTGCTCCCCATCTTTAGGTCTACTGAAATAATACTCTTGATTTTTGGGATAGCCAGAACATAGCCCAGAACCAAGCTAAGGTTATAATTTTTTAAGCTTTCCTGTGAGTTCTCTTTGGAATACGTGTATAGCTGTTTCTTTTGATTGCAGCTGTTTAGCATTTAAATAATAGGAATTTGTTTGGAATCAGCTCACACTTTTTTCCTGTTTTTTGTCTTTAAAGCCACAAGTTCCAAAAGTAGTAGAAAAGGTGTTTTTTACCACTGCGTTACCAGTTGCTGGCAGCACAGGTAAGCTCGGCACCGAACTTGCTTTTCTGTCTTCCTCTGTTTGTAGCACCGTTAGCTTGAGCAGCATTTGTGGTGATTTCATTGCTTGCTGAAATGCTGAAGAAAACCCTTTCAATTTTTCCCGTTCCTGAGGTGCTAAATGCAGTGTGCTGTAGACTCACGGCAAAAAGATCTGTCCTGTAGCAGTTTCTCTAGCAACTTGTAAGATCATCAGGGTCACAGATTAGATCCATGCAAACACCACTTTTATGAATACTGGAACTTGTATAGGAGAATAGAAAACAGCAATGCAAGGACATAATTGGCTTTTTGTTCTTTAAATGAAGACATGAAACAGCCGTAAACTCGTAGACTTCATGCCTGGCTTCAGCCAGAACAGTTGCTCATCAGCAGAGAGCGCATGCCGTGATTTTCTTTCTTATCTGCCAGAGGTATTGGTTGTGCTTGGATGAAGTAACGCGTAATCTCTGCTGCAAGGTGCACGCAGTCTCATGTAGCAGAGTGATCTGTCTCTCCCTGCTGTGGAGTTATGTAGTTCCCTTGTGTTTTGTCTCTGTTTCACCTTCAGGAAGCCCTGTTCAGCAGATTGGCCTCAGCGTTCCTGTCATCATCATCAAGCAGGAGGAGGCCTGCCAGTGCCAGTGTGCCTGCCGAGACTCTGCCAAGGACAAAGCCACCGTCAAGAAGGAATGTTCCTCGCCCGACCCAAAAGCTGTGGAGCAGCCAGCTCCTCCCCAGCTGCAGCCTCAGCCCTTTCCCTCCTCTACCCCTTCTCCTTCCTGCGGGCAGAGCAGTCAGGTCGTTAACCCTTCAGACTCACAGCCTGAAACGCTAAGTGCCATGGATGTATCGGACTTCCTGTCCCTCCAAAGCCCTGACACCCCATCCAATATAATTCCAATCGAAGCACTACTGCAGGGTGAGGAAGAAATTGGTTTGAATAGCAGCTTCTCCAAGTGAAGATGTTCCAGATTTTCCTTTGCACCTGGAGGGTAAAACCCTTCTCCTTAGAAGCAGAAACTGAAGGATCGATTATTTTCCCTTCCTCTTTGGAAGTTTTGTGGCTTATTTCTGCTTCACAGATGTCATCTTAGTCACGTCGCAGGTACATCCATCTTTGAGAATCTATCTAAAAAAAAGAAAAGGAAAAAAAAAAGAAAAAGCTAAGTTATATATGAACTGTTTTGGCTGCACTGTCTGTCACTTTTGCTTGTCATATGTGAACACAGAAGTTAAGGTTACTCGTGTGCAAAAAGATTTTGAGAAGAAAAAGGGGGTTAGTTCATCTCCAGTTGCACATTGCTATGTTTGGGATTAAGGTACTGGCAGCGAGTGGGTCTTTGTTACAACTCCTTGGGTCTATAATTTCCTTCCGTCTCTTATGTCTGAACTATCCGTGCACTATAGGGGGAGCCCAGGAAGGGAATTTGCTGTCGTAGGAAATGGCATTATTGTAGAAGATGAATTATCTGCAGTTTTATTGGAATCCAGTTTTCACCTCACTGAGTTGGGAGCCAATGGCTGGGTTTGCTTTGTACTAACGCTGTTACTAAAACCTGCAGAGTTTTGGGGAGTTGATTTCAGTAGAGCACAAGTACCTTGTGCTCCTGATAGATCTGTTAATTGGTTTTGGTAGGACTTGAGGTGTGGTGGCAGCCACCGCGAGACGCGATCGGAGCCGCTGTGTGCTCAGGCTGGAGTCTTCTCTGTGCCGCGCTCTGGAGGGTGCAGAGTCCCAGGCGCGCTCAGATCGGGGCCTGCTGCTCTTTTCTTTGCTCTGCTCAGAACAAGTCATCCTCTTACCCCGCGACTGTTGAATCAGGAGCATGGTGCCTTTGCTGGTTACTCTCATCTTTCGTCAAGAGCAACTCTAGGAAAAGTTTAGGAAAGAGGAATATGAATTCGGTTTGAATCCAGTGAGTCTGTCCTTCAGCTGTTCAGAAATGCTTCTTTTTTTTCCTGTTAAGCTACATAATTTCTGCCTGAATCTGCCTCCAACCTACTGCAATGCCAGCTTTTTGTGCACGGGGCTATTTCTTGACTAAAAGATGTTACACGACGTAGTAGTTTTTCATATCAAACTGAAAGTCTATATTCTAACCTACTCAGGGTAAAAAAAACACAAACCCCCCTTCCACCAAAAAGCCTGTAATGTTGCAATAAATGCAGTCTCATTCTAAATGGTTTATTTATGCTGCATTATTTTAAAGATGTAATTTTATAGTGTTTTATCCATCTTTCTGGCTTTGGCTGTCAGTCTTTTTGTGTTAAAGGAAAGAATATTAAATAGTCTTTATTCAGTTTACAGTGTTGTCATTAGTGAGATACAAAGATAATGACTGTAAGCCAATTAACGTGTGGAGTGTCTCCGCGCGCTGAACTTAGGAACGCGATCTGGTGGTGGATGGAGATGTCTCTGTGGTGATCAGAGCCGCGAGTGCAGCGGGACCTGCCCGGGGTGCCCTGGGACCCCCTGCGAGGGCTCCGCGCTGCCTCGGGCAGGGCCCGTGCGGCCTCGCGCGCTGTTCCCTTGCGGATCCGCGGCCGCGGCACAGGCGGAGCTGGGCCGAGGGGTCTGGGTTTCCCCTCCCCACAGCTTGGTTCTGTTGTTCAGGGCAGCAGGGGTCAGGGAGGAGAGGCTGCGCAGAGCGCTGCGTGCCTGGGCAGTGTGCTCTGTGTTGGTGGCTGCGGTGACGAGCTGGGGCTCCAGCCGAACTGGGAACGCGCTGATGGCATTGCCTCGCTGTGCTGGCGCGTGTTGCTGCGGGGTGCCGTCGCTGCGTGTCCTGCAGCAGTAAGGTTTGCATCCGCGAAACGTGGACTAACAAAGGGTTTATGTTTTGTTCGTGTAATGGTAATCCCTGGAGGGCAGCGAGGTGGTGGCACTCTTTGTTGTTCTCCTGCAGCTTCATTTTGTGATGCAGTTTGATTGCGCGGTGCCAGGAGCCGCTTTGGCCACGCGAGAAGGGCTCAGGTCTGCGTGGCTGGGATGTCCCATGGGGCCGGGTCTCTGCCTGCTCCCCAGTGGAGAGCTCAGCTTCGGGCAGCGTGAGTGGGGCTGGGCTGCGTGGGGTCCCTGAGGAGCAGGACACTGGGTGTTCAAGTGGGGGTTGTGTGTGTGTGTGTGTCTCGGTCTCTGCTGATGCAGGAGCTGTAGATTCCCCTGCAGTGGCGGGGTTTTCTCTGATGGGGAGAAAGTGCCAGATGTGGCCTGAAATGTGGCAGCTGGGGGATTTGGCAACTTCTACCGAGCCTTTCTGTCCTTCAGGGAAGTCTTTTTCCATGCTACTTCTGCTGCTCATCACGTATTCCACCTAAGTTACACTTCTGGTTGGACCAGACAGCATTTTCAGAAACTCCTTTGTGACAGAAGTGAGTAGAAAAATCCACCAAAGGCTTTGAGATCGGACGCTGATTGGGAAGCGCGGTGACCAGCGCTGCACGCGTCCTCCGGGTGGGTGCTGGAGGTTTTCATGGCTGCTGTTTTGTGTTGGTGTGCTCTAGGAGGAGCAATGCATCCCAAGTTTATGCTGAACTTAGGTGCGTTGGGTTTGCATCTGGCGGGCTGTGATTTAGGTGAAACCAATTAGAGCTTGTAATGAGGCGAGAGCAGCGTGGTTCTGTGAGCGCACAGGGCGCTGCACCCCGTGCTGGTGTACAGATGTGTGCTTTTCTCGTTCAGTCCTCTGCTTTGTGTCCCTGCTGTGTGCGGCTGCTGGGCTCACAGCCGACGTTTGCCGTGCGATGGATCCTCGTGTTGGGCTCCTTGGCGCGTCTGGGTCGGGGGAGATCCCTGAGCAGCTGAGAGGGGCAGTTCCTGGATGCCAGGGGATTTTCTGTCCTCGTCCCCTCGTGGCCCCAGCATTTGGCACATTCACAGTGATGTTTTTAATAACAGGGAGAGTTTCTGCCGTTGTAGATCTGGGAAGACGTGGGGTTCCCAGAAAGGGGCACGTTCTGGTGACGGAGCCTCTGAGAACAGCGTGCCCTCCCACTGCAAAATCTGCATTTCACGACCCCCTTGAATTATCAGAGAGCAGAACTGCGCTGCTCCGGGCCATCCAGTGCTAAAGGGTGTGTGGCTTGTGGGGATCTGCTTGGTTACCTACAGCTTCAGGTGGTGCAGGAGCTTGCACGTGTGGAACGGGTGTGATTGCCAACATCGGTGGCTCTGGTGGCCAAGCCAGCAGACCTGGTGGGCGGTTGAAGGCTGTAGAAGTTGCTTTTCCTGCTTGTAGGCGGTAGAGGGGTGGAAAATCAGCGCTGTTTAAATGCTGGTACTGAATCATATAGAACAAAGTACGAATCAGGCACTTCTGTAATGCTGACTGCGTCCAGAAAGACTAGTTTGCAGAACCTCATACTGGTATCTAAAATGCACTTTAGGTTATTTTATCTTTAACCCGATTGCTGCAATTTCTTTTGTATATACTTTCACAAAGTTTATTTTTGCTCTGAGTAAAAGTTAACAGGGGTGTGCAAAGATGAGCACTTGACTTGGTGCAATACGTGTAGCTGCGGATCGCTGTCCCGCGGGGTCTGTCTGTCTGTCTGTGTCTAGGAGTTAGCTCAGTGGCGCGCCGCCCGCCCGCCCGTGCCGAGAGAATTAATTATGCATCGTTAGCAAACGTCCGATCTATGCAAATACAGCGGATGGTCCTGTGCGTTGCCCGGCCGCTCCTGTGCTCCGGGGGCCGCTCGTCACCGCTGCGGGGCACGGCCGCGTTCCTGGGGGCGGCCTCTGTGTCCCCCGCTGCGCCAGGAACAGGGGCCGAGCCGTTCTGAGACGGGCATCGCGCACCTTTGACGCTTGTCTTCGATCGATGTCGATGTCGTGTTATCTGCCTTATTCACGGAGGATGGCGCTCCCGCGGGCACCCACGGCGTTGTCTGTGCAGCTGCAGCGAGGCTCTCACCCCGTGTACAGCGCCCTCCGTGCTCCGCGGGTAAATTCGGCTCGGGAGGCAGCGGTGCCGCTCTGTGGGTGCGGAGCTGCGGGGGGTGCGGTGTGACCGGCGTCGGGGCGTTCTGGGGGGGGCAACCGAGGGGATGGGACAGGGTCGCGGCGCCACCGCTGTCCTGCGGCTGCCGGGGACGGGGGCGCCTCTGTCTGCGCGGGATTTGGGATCTGGGGTGAACGTCCCTGGCGATCTGAGCGAGCGGGGCGGAACGGTCAGAGTCAGCTCGGGCTGTAAGGCAAAAAAGAAATAAATAAGCACGTCTTTAATAAACCCTGCAAATTTCTGATCGCATGGTTTTTAATTGGTACACTATTTTTTCCGTAACATGTTTTGGAAACAATGGCAAGTTTTTATAAATGTTACCTGTAGTTGATACTCATGGACAGGGCTGAACTTCTAACTTTTTTGTGTCTTTTCTTGGTATATATCTTATGTTCTAGAAGTTGGATTCTGTGTCTGCACTGAGAAATGCAAGTTAAACT